TCATAGCTTTAAATATTTTAAATACTAATGACAGAAAGATGAAATGTTTGCATAAAAAGAGAACAGTAAGCACTAAGCAAGTAGAAATAATAAATTAATAAATATAATATAATCAGTGAAATCAATATACAAACAATAGCAATAATTAAGAAAGCCAAATTTTAGTTATTTGAAAAGATCAACAAATTGATAAACCTCTTTAAAGTGGTCAAGAAAAAAAGAGGGAGAACTCAAATCACCAATATTAGAAATTATAGAGGGGTTATACTAAAGATAATACAGACATTAAAAGAATAATAAGAGAATATTATGAAACACTTTATGCACCAAAATTGACAACTTAGATGAAATATACATTTTCCTTGTAAATTACAATTTAAAACTGACACAAAATGAAATAGAAAATCTGAATAAAATTGAATTTGGAATCATAAGACCTCCTCGCCACACATACACACAAAAAATCCTCAAAGCACAGATAAATTCACTTGCAAATTCTATCAAACATTCTAAAGTGGACATCCTTTAGAAAATATAGGAAGGAAGAACGCTTCCCAACTCATTTTATGAGGCCAACATGATCCTAATATAAAAATCTGACATAGGCATTAAAAGACCCTAAAAATACAGAATAACATCCATCATTAAAATGGTTTCAAAAACCCTTCATAAAACGTTAGTAAACTGAATACAGCAAACAGAGTTTTATCCTAGGGATCCAAGCTTGGTTTAACATTCAAAAATCAATCAGCATAAATTACCATATGGACATTTCAATGGATGGAGACAAAACACTTTCCTCAAACTTCTCAGGGAACTGTCTTAATCTAATAAATAAAGTATGCCAATGACAAATCCACTGGCAATATCATATTAATCATTCAATATTGAAGACTTTCCTTTTAAGGTCAGGAATAATGTTAGCTTGCCAACTCTCACTACTTCTCAAATTGTACTGGAGTTCTTAGCCATTGCAATAAAGTATAGGAATAAAAGGAATAAGATTAGAAATAAATAAATAAAATCGCCAGTATTGCTGATGAAAATCTCTAAGTAATCAATAAAACAGTCAATAAATTCATAGATTAAGGCCTCCCAATAGAAAAATGAAATAATAAACATCACAAATATTAAACATGCAGAAATAAGTCTAACAAAAGACATGAGAGAGCTCTACATTATAAATTACAAAACTGATGAAAATTAAAGAAGATTTAAATAAATATAGAGATACAACACGAAGACTCAATATTATTGATATCAATTCTCTCCAATTGATGTACAGATCCAATAAAATCTTAACCAAAGTTCTAGTGGGCTTTTTTAAAAATAGAAATTAATAAGCATATTCTAAATTTTACAGAGAAATGCAAGGGCTCTGCAATTTTTAAAAATTCTGAGAAAGAAGAACAAAATTGGAGAAGTTACCCAAACTGGCTTTTAGACTTACTATCTAGTTGCAGTAATCAAGACAATATGGTCATGGCTTAAGGACTGAAAGGTGGATAAACAGGATAGAACAGAGAGCCAAGAAATAGTCATTTGATTTCGGTCAAAGGTACAAAAGCAATTTAATCCAAAGAAAGGCAATTCAACAAAATGGGCTGGAATAACTAGCTAGGCATATGGAACAACAAGAACGTGGCCCCTCCCACAAATCATGTGGACACACACACACACACACACACACACACACACATAAATTCAAGATGATAATACACAAAAATTAAAAGCTAAAACCATGAAGACTTTAGAAGAGGTCACAGAAAGCAATTATCATAAAGGAAAAATTTGATAAATCAAAATTTCTTTAGTATTATAAATTTTTACTCTTTAAAAGACATAGTTAAGAAAATGAATGAAAAAAAGTCACAGGCTAAAAGAAACCATTTAAGAAATATATTTGACAAAAGGATAGTCTGTACGTTATATAAAGATCTCCTCTAACTGAATAAAGCACAAATAAATGGGTAAATATTTAAACAGATACTTTACAAAAGATATACAAAAGGTCAATAATCACATTAAAAAACCTTTCAACAGGGAACTGAAAATTTACCTAGAATGAAGTGTTACCGCAAACTCACTAGCATAACTAAAATTAAAAAGGGGGAGGACACCAAATGGTGAAGAGGAGATGGAGAAACTAGAATTTTCATACACTGTTGGCAGTTACATAAAATTGTACAACCAGTTTGGAAAATGGCAGTTGTTCTTTTTTTTAAATAAAGCTAAACATACACATACCCTGTGACCCAGGAATCTGTTGCCTGGGTGTTCACCAAGGAGAAATGAAGACACATATTTATAAAAAGACTGTACAAGACTGCTCATTCAAGCTTTACTCACGACAGCCAAGCACTGGAAGCAGCCTACGTGTCCATCAGTAGAAGAATGGGTAAACAAACTGTAGTATACTTATACACGGAATAGTACTCAGAAAGTAGAAGACCCAAACTTCTGATACCTGGAGCTACGTTCATGAATTTCATTAATGGCATGCTGAATTAAGGAAGCCTTATACAAAAGAGTACACCCAGTATAAATCTATTTATAAGAGCTTCTAGAATGGACAAAAGTAATCTATAATGAGTAAAACCTCTGTTAGCACGTTTTGAGGGAAGTTGACTAGGAAGGAGAAAGAGTAAGTTCGCTGAGTGACAGTTCTTTTGTAATTCATTTCTACAGGAATTTGGGTAACAAGTTTGTGCATTTGTCAAAATTCAATGAATGTACACTTAAGGTTTGCATTTTGTTGCATGAAAATTTTACATCAAAAGAAAAAACTGTGAACAAATATTAAACACTAAAGATACGCTCATTGAAGTATTTAGAGGGAAGTATACTGATGTCTACAATATAGTTTGAAATGCATGAAAATAAGATGGATGGATGGGTGGATGGATAGAATAACGGATAGACAAGGAAATATGATATGAAACAAGCATGGTAAAATGTTGATGGGGATATGTAAATATGTATATCTTGATGGGATTATGAATATATGTATATATTAATGGGTATATGAATGTTCACTATAAAATTCTTTCAACTTTGTGTGTAAGATCTTTTTTATAATAAACTATTGGTAAAAATGAAAGAGATATAACAGGTAAATAGAACAAAATCATTTTGTGGTTATTTTGAAATAGAATATATAAAACTTTTAGTAAAGTGCTTGGTTGTATAGCATATTCCAAATTAATGTTTCTTTTGCCTCATTTACACATACGAATGTAACTTTACACCTATTAATTGATTTATTATAGTGAAAACAAAGTTGACCCAATCAGTGTTTCCACTGGATGAATAAACAATCTGATTTGACATGGTTGGCCTATGAAGGTTCACCTCTATTTCTCAACATCAACTTATAAAAGAGGTATTCAGTATGGTTAAAATCAAACTAAAGGAAACTCATAGGGGAAATACGGAAAAAAAAGTGGTTACAGAAAAAAGACGGATAAAAATCTAAATTAAAAAGATTGAGGGGCCAGCCCAGTGGCGCAGCGGTTACTTCGCACTTTCCACTTCCGCAGGCCGGGGTTTGCTGGTTCGGATCCCGGGTGCGGACATGGCACTGCTTGGCAAGCCGTGCTGTGGAAGGAGTCCCACATATAAAGTACAGGAAGATGGGCATGGATGTTAGCTCAGGGCCAGTCTTCCTCAGCAAAAAGAGGAAGATTGGCAGTAGTTAGCTCAGGGGTAATCTTCCTCAACAAAAACGATTGAGTGTTTGTTTGCTACCATATTATACGAAAACGTGAATAAATAATATTCACAGATCTGGGATGCTTTTTGGTATGTGTGAAATTCGCTTACTTCTTGAAACTGAGGGAACCAGGTAACGTTGCCTTCTCATTGATCAGCAATATCAACATTAGATTAAACTGCTTTGCATGCCTATAATTCTATAATATACCACTCCAGGCTGATTAGCAGAATTAAACAATGACTAAAATAATGACCTTGGCTATTTGAGGCAGAGGCAGCATGGGGTAATTTTAAAAGCAGGCAGATCTGAGTTAGACAACCAGCATCATTACCTGCATGTGATCCTGGACAACTTATTATCTCAGTGAACCTATGATTCGTCCTCAGTAAAATGGGAATAAAACAATATCTGCTTCATATGGGTATTGTGGGGATTAAGAGAGAAGTTTGAGGAAAGGCACATAGCAATTGCTCAATAAATGTTAGCTTCCTTCCATCCTGGGAGTGTTAGAATATGCACAGTCTGAATAAATTATCAATATAGTTATGCTATTAGATTTATTATACTTCTGTACATTTGTCCAGTGGAGGACTCTGAGTGAAAGGAGGACTTTTCGTTTATTTGTTTGTTTTATATTTTTGCTGTTGTTTTTAGCTAATAGGCCAGAGTCTCATTTCTTCAAGAGAGTTATCCTTCCATTTAACTTAGCATTTGACAATTCTTCATGATTTTAATGTTTGGGACCGGGAGGCCAAGCTGTTGTGTGTAGGAATGGCCCAAAGGAAAACAACGGAAATTCAACAACAACAACAAAAGTTGTGAAGAGAGCTACTGAAGACAGATAGGGGCATTAGAATTATTTAACTTACAGAAGATAACTTGATGAAGTAAATTTTTCCCAGTTCTTAGCTTACTCCCCAACAGAACTTAGTTTGGCATCTATTTTAAATAACTTAGAAGGCATTTTAAAAACCATGGCTTTCAAATATCTTTCGTTCCACCTATTCACAAAGAGGTAACGTATTAACTCTCTTCTTACAGTGAGTACACGGAGCTCAAAGATCTCCAGGTACCCAAAATAGGGACTAATTTAGGAATTGGAGAACAGCATCTATAATAGTTGGTGAGCTGTTGAGATGAGATGGACTTATACTAGAAGAGTAAGAATTCAGATTACATATAGATAACAATGACTTGAGGAATTCACTTCACTGGCAGTTTTCACAAAAACTGGGATACTATAGACTAAACAATCTATAAGGTATTGAAGCCAAATAGAACTTACCTTGATTTTAAAAGATGAAGTATTAAGCTTTTTCTATTTAGGCTTATTTCATACAACAATTCTTCTTCATAAGTTTCCTGAAAAACAATACCCATCATGTGACTTAAATGTGTGGCCATTTAGTGTGTGTTGGGAGTTGGTAGTGGGGTGGGTGGAGGGGAAATTGTGGATCTTTCACAGTCTACCCAGCAGCCCAGCATTCAGCAGTCCTTTCGGGCAAAACGATAAATACTGATAAAGCTGAATTTATAAGAGAGCTAATATATGGAGCATTTTTCCTTCAAGTTATTTTCTAATTAAAATTTTTGATGGGCTTTTTTTCTAGTCATAAAATAAAAAGGAAATGAACAAATGCACATTCTCTCCTTGTCTAGAGATGTGCAAGTTGCTACGTTCCTTGCTGCATTCCACCACTCCCCGGATCTTGTGTTTATGTATTTTTAGTTCATCCAGGAGACCACATCACTTTTACTTGCAATGTCTCTGTAGGCTCCTCTAGACTGTGATAGTTTCTCAGACTTTTCTTATTTTTGATGACCTTGACAGTTTGAGGAGTACTGGTCAGGTATTTTGTAGGCTTTCTCTCAATTTAGGTTTTTCTGATGTTTTTCTCTTGCTTAGACTGGGGTTATAGAGATTTCGGAGAAAACAACAACAAGTGCCGTATTCATCACATCATACCAAGAATACATACCATCCACATGACCTTAACATGACGTCAATATCAACATGATGTTAACCTTGATCACCTAGCTGAGGTAGCATTTGTCAGCTTTCTCCACTGTAAAGCTACACTTTCCCCTTCCAGACCCTAATCTTGGGAAGGAAGTCACTATGCTTAAGGGATGGGAAGTTACGCTCCACCTCCTTGGGAGGGGAGTATCTACAACAATTTTTTGGTTCTTCTGTATGAGAGATTTGTCTATTCTCCCTCATTTATTTACTTATTCAATCATTTACTCATATCAATATAGGCTCATGGATATTAATTTATACTTTATGTTATGGTCCAAAACTGTATCGTTAATTTTGTTGCTCACAGTGTCCCTTCTTTGTTCATTGGAGCTCTTTCAGTTGGCTCCTGTGTTCTTTTGACTTCCATCAATGTTTGGAGTTTGTTTGAGAACTTCTTTACTTTCTGGTACAACAAGATGCTCCAAACTCATCTTGTATATTTCCTGCCCTAGTGTAGTATCATCTTGTATATTCATAGTGGCACTTTTAATATCAGTCCTGATTAAGTCTTAAGACAATAGATGCCAGAAGAGCCCACCGGCTTTTGCACAATGGGTGGTAGAAAGCTGACTTTGCCCTCTTAGCTAAGTATCAACCTTCAACCAATAAAAGGTTTGAGAAGGTGAGAAAAGAACTGGAAATCAAGAGAAAAATTATTTGTAAGGAGATTGTTAGAGAAAAATGGTTGGACATTATTTCCGAATGACAGCGGATGGAGAGCTGCTTTTTCATCATCTCAAACCATGAGAAAGAGGCCTTGATGGTGCCATTTGGAAAGCTGAAATGTGTCTTATTTATGACTGAGAAACCTAGCAAGTGAGAACCTGGAAGGCTGGCTCTTCTATTGGTGGAGGGAAGAAAAGTCTTTGCATCGGGAAGGATTTGCCCTCTCAAGGAGTGTTGGGGCAAAGTGACAGTCAGTATTCTTCATGAGCCAAATTAAAAACCTAAGGCTCAAAATGCAAGTGTGTGATAACAAATGTCTGACAGTCATTGAATGTGTTTTATAATAGCGGGAACTGAAAATAACCTAATTTTGAAGCTTACTCCCCATTATGTATATTATATATTTTCTACATAAATATTTATTACTTTTGAAAATAAAATTTTGAATGTTTCTAAATTTTAACATCTGAATCAAAATTCTTCTAAGAAATAGACCAAGTAAGCCTTTTTGTTCCTATGAATGTTATCCAACTTTACTACAAAATCTGTAAGACAAAGAAGCCTGTATATCAGATCACTGGGAAAGCAAAATGCTCAGAGATTACGTTCCACTGGCACCAGCTTAGAACAAATGAGATTGCTTTAAATGAGCCTGGAAAGCTGTTAGTGGAACTCCTCACATAAACTGAAAAATTTTACATGGCACCCTCTAAAACCTGAACTTTACTCCTTTTTGTTTCCTAATCTGTCAAGGGGTTGTTTTCCTCTGCAACTTCTACTCCTCATCCACCCAAGCACATGCTGTGAGTTGATTGGGAGGCCTCAGAAAAATTGAGACATCTCTCTTGTTTGCTTCTGATTGGAGCCAGAGGTTGCTTTCTACATGCTTGTGAAACCAATAAATCTTATTTATTAAATCAAAACCTGTACCTGTATGTCATAATCATGGCTGTGCCAAACATCTCGCTTCTGTATCACGGGAAGCCTTTTAGGATAAACCAGTTCTTGACCCTCTACTCCAAGGATTACCTTTTCTAAAAGGAAACAAAAGGGGGAAAATACATCTGGTATTAACACTCACTCAAAGTGATTGGGTAACAGAATTATTTTCAGAGAGTTCACTCGCTCCAGATTAGCAGCCACGTACAACACCACTATGAAATAGCATCCCCACTTTACAGGCAAGGAATTGAGACCAAGATTTCCAGAGTAGAAAAATATGAGCAAAATTGGAAAATTGGCAAAGAAATCAGAGTCCTTCGGCTTCTTCCCTTTTTTCACCTTGTTCTGTAGTTGCTACCCTTGTAATCTTATTCTCCCCATAACTGTCTCTGGATTCTGCCACCTGTCAAAGCCTGCACTGGAATGGACTGTCCAATGTAAATTACCCATTTTATCTCCCAGGGGTATTTGCGCTTGAAGTCTTAATATATGGCTTTCAGTTGTTAAAGGGATTCTAGATACTCTTGGATCAGTGCTAAACATAATCTTCTACAAGTTTCCTATCAAAATTATTTCCAATATATAGAAATATTGAATCACTATGATGCACACCTGAAACTAATAAGATACTGTGTGTCAATTATACTTAAAAAAACCCCAACTGGTAGTCATCTGTGAGGTCAGCCCTGCACACCTCACTAAAGATTGATATAGAGGAAAGAGCATAGGATTTTGGAATCGGCTCTTACTTGAATCAGGCATTTACCAGTTTATTAGTAGTATGACCATGAGTAGCATATCTAATCTCTCTGATCTGTAGATATTAGTCTCAATTTCCTTATCTGTAAATGGAGAAAATAATATAGAATTTTAAACATGCTAATGGTTAGCACAGTGTCTGCTACATTGCAGATATTCAGTAATGTCCACTCCTTCTTCCCTTTCACTGTAAATTAGAGTATTTACAAATGATATGACATTTCATAGAATCAGAGAATCTCAAGATTAGCCATAATCTAGTCAAAGTCCTTTGCTATGTTCTCAGTAAAATCACCAATGGATATTAATGTTTTTATCATTTACGATTTAAACTTTGCGACTAAAGAGACATTACCTCATAGCATAATAAGAAAACCCTGATAAAAACATTAAGACATACCTTTAATCTGAGAAATGAGTAAAATCATGAAAAATAAATTCCCGGGAAGCATTCTGCATGCTTCTGGCAGAAGAGGGACAGACATGCTTGAGAAAAGATGTGCACGGTTCTTCATCCTTGTTTCCTCAGCAAGGAGGAAAACAACACATGGACAAGCAGTTTTGATTCAGCACAAGGAAGTTTTCCTTGATCATGTTACACAATTTGTGAGGTGCTTGAGGCTAAAACCTGGAGAGTGGGCATCACGTACCAATTAAAGGCACCCACTGAGGTGCTGGTCGTGGAGGTGGGCTGGGCAGAGATCCCTAGTTCAAGCTTAATATAAATAAGTTTCTAGATGTATTAAAAATTCAAAAGTGAAAAAAATCATGTATGTCTTAGAAAAAAATTATTGGATGATGTTTACATAAACTTTGTTTGAAGAAGTTCCTTCTATGCAGAATGTCACATGTAGAAACTGTAAGGAAAATTTGATAAAACAAACGAGATAGAAATATTGGAATTTTTGTTTTCTAGCTAAATAAAGGCCTAGGCCATGTGAGGCCCAGGGACAATGGCCTTTAGAGTGCTGTATGAAACATGAGATACTACTCCACTCCACCCCAATAGAAGGAGAGTCATTGGGACAAGAGGGGAAAATGAGGGAAAATAACCATCTTTTTGTTCTTCCCAGTTTTATTGAGATGTAATTGACATACAGCACTGTATAAGTTTAAGGTGTACAGCATTATGATTTGATTTACATTTATTGTGAAATAATTATCACAGTAAGTTTAGATAACATTTATCATCCCCTATACATACAAAAAATAGAAAAAGAAAAAGAATGCTTTTTTCGTTGTGATGGGAACACTTAGGATCCACTCTCTTAATGGCTTTCAAAAATACCATACAGCAGTGTTCACTATAGTCATCATGTTGTGCATTAAATCTCTATACTTATTTATCTTATAAATGGAAGTTTGCCCCTTTTGACCACTTTCCTGCAAACTTACTTATAAAAACTTATTTATGTCATAAATCACAAATTAATTTAAATTTAAAGACAAAGACTCCAGAAATGCATGCAACATATATAATAAAAGGTGAAGGTAAAAATTCTTATAACATGGAACTCTTTCAAATCAATACAAAAATAAGATATGTGAAAAGGACCTGTACGAACTTATTTGTATGTTTGTGTTCCCTTGTTAGATTAGAAGGCATATCCTTTTGCCAGTACAATCTCTTTTCTGGATTTGGGATTCTATCCCCTCCCCTATCTCACATTATTGATTCTCTCTCTAATATTCCCATAAACGGAACCAATCTGTGATACTGGGAAGGTTTCTTTTGACATTTAAATAAGCTCAAGTCTCTCTTGCAAAAAGTCCTAGCCTCAATCCTATATTCCACAGGCCTCCACGATTACCTTCTTTGTCATTCTTTTTTCAGCTAAACTTCTCACCAAGTTTATCTATATTTCTTGTGGCAATTTTCTCATTCCCAGCTCATCCTCACACATTCTACTCTGACATCTAGCTCTATTATTTTATAGATATAGCTGTGCAGTATCTCCAGTGGTTTCACAATTTCTATATCCAAGGGTATTTTGGCTCTTCGTCTTGCCCTCTCAATAATATTTGGCACTTTTGACCGTATCTTCCTCCTTGAAATATCCTATTTAGCTCCCTTGGCACTCAGTCTTCTTAACTTCTTTCCAGCTCTCTGGCAACTTGTGGGTGTGTTTATTTTTACTTGACCTTTAAATTTTGGAGCTCCTCAAGATATTACCTTACCCTCCCTTTTCCTCTAACTGTATACTTATTCCAAAGCCATCTCATCTTCAATTATGGTTTAATTATCATCTCTATGATATACCTCACATTTTACTTATTTATTTTTATTGAGGTGATGTTGGTTTATAACACCATATAAATTTCAGGTGTACATCATAATATTTTGATTTTGGTGTAGACTATATCATGTTCCCCACTCAAAGTCTACTGCCAGCCACCACTGTACACATGCGCCCTTTTACTCCTTTCATCCTCCTTCCTCTCCCTTTCCCCTCTGGTGACCACCAGTCTATCCTCTACAGCTATGTATTTGTTTGCTGTTGTTTTTATCCTCCACACATGAGTGAAATCATATGGTACTTGGCTTTCTCCTTCTGACTTATTTTGCTTAGAATAATGCCTTCAAGCTCTATCCATGTTGTTGCAAATGGTAAGATTTTACCTTTATTTTATGGCTGAGTAGTATTCCATCATATATATATATATATATATATATATACCACATCTTCTTTATCCATTCATCTATTGATGGACACTTAGGTTGTTTCCAAGTCTTGGCTATTGTGAATAATGCTGCAATGAACATAGGGATGCATAAATCTTTTTGAATTAGTGTTTTCATGTGTTTTGAGAAATACCCAGAAGTGAAATAGCTGGATCATATAGTAGCTCTATTCTTAATTTTTTGAAGGATCTCCATACTGTTTTCCATAGTAGCTGCACAAGTTTATGTTCCCACCAGCAGTGTATGAGTGTTCCCTTTTCTTTATATCCTCTCCAACACTTGTTATTTCTTGTCTTTTGTGTGTGTGTGTATGTGAGGAAGATTGGCCCTGAGCTAACATCTGTTGGCAATCTTCCTCTTTTTACTTGAGGAAAATTGTTGCTGAGCTAACATCTATGCCAATCCTCTCCTATTTTGTACGTGGGACACCACCACAGCATGGCTTGATGAGCGTGTATAGGTCCATGCCTGGGATTTGAACCTGTGAACCCCAAGCTGCTGAAGCCAAGCATGTGGACTTAACCACTAAGCAACTGGGTCCGCCCTCTTGTATTTTTAATAATAGCTATTCTGATGGGTGTGAAGTGATATCTCATTGTGGTTTTGATTTGCATTTCCCTAATAATTAGTCATGTTGGGCATCTTTTCATGTGCCTGTTGGCCATTCATATATCTTCTTTGGAAAATGTCTGTTCAGATCCTCTGCCCATTTTTGAATTGGATATTTCTTTTTTTGTTGTTGAGTTGTACAAGTTCTTTATGTATTTTGGATAGTAACCTCTTATCAGAGATATGATTTGCAAATATCCTCTCCAAATTGTTAGGTTGTCACTTCATTTTGTTCATGGTTTCCTTTGCTAGGCAGAAGCTTTTCAGTTTGATGTAGTCCCATTTATTTATTTTTCTTTTGTTTCCCTTGCTCGAGGAGATATGATATTCAAGGATAAATTTTAGGACTCTTTGTTCTATTTCTGTGAAAAACGTCATTGGTATTTTGATAGGGACTGCACTGAATCTGTAGATTGCTTTATGAAGTATGGACATTTTAACTGAATGTTTTTACTTTTAATTGAGAAAGCAGGAAACATTTCTGTACTTCCGTTTTCTCATCTATAAAATGGGTATAATAATAACAAAAACCTCATAGGGATGGTGTAATATTAAATGAATCTGTGCTGACAGGCAATCTTACACTTCCTGGTTCATTCACTCCCCAATTCTCTTCATTGACTATTTTAGTCTCTCTTCTCTCCTCAAATCTCTAAATCTCTCCTTCTTACTCTCAGCTGATCACCATACTTTCTATTTCCCTGAGAAAAAAGAAGTCATCAGAAGAAAAACAATCTCACCTTCTCCCACTAACACATCTACCTTACTATCAAGATGTGTACCAATACAGACTAGTTCTCTCCTGTTTCTAAGGATGTGCTGCCCACGCCTCTAAGGTCTACCCACCACTAATGTATTGGATTCCATTCCTTCTTGACCCCCAATGCCATCACTCTGACAATAGTTCTCTTTCTCTACTGTATTAACTCTATTACTATATATATAAACATGCTGCCATTTTTTCTATCTTTTAAAAAAAAAATTTCTCCTTTTACACCACTTTCACCTCCACCCATTCTTGACTTCTTTCAGTAGCACAAGTTCTTGAAAAATGAGTTGTATAGGTTGTCTCCACTTCCTCTCTCCCTGTTTTCTCTTGAATTACTCCACTCAGACTTTTTATCCTTCACTCAACAAAACACTTCTTGTCAATGTTACCAATGACCTGTACCTTGCTAAATCCAGAGGTTGATTCTTAATCCTCACTAACTTGACCTTTTAGCAGCATTTGATGCAGTTGATCACTTCCACCTTTTGAAGAGTTTAGCTTATATAATACCATGTGTCTCCTCCATGCTTATTCCTTTTAAATTGGATGATAGGAGCTACACTGAGCTTGCCTCTGTTACAGTCAAAATTGTGGAAAATAGAATAGACAATTTTGAAAATATCAATCGTGTAATCTCAATTATTTATAGTGTCATGTTAAATGATAAGGCTCTAAGACATTTGTCTGCTGTCTTTGGGTAAGTTATGGCTAGGCTAACTTTCTAGCATAGCTAAAATATTAGAGATAGAGCACTATCTCTGGTTGATCCAGGTGAAACAACCAAGAACTTTCAAAGAAGAAAAATTTTTATAACTTTCTCAAACTACATAATCAATAAGTGGAGAGCAGAGATTAAAGGAAAATTTCTGCCTGGCTCTGTGTTATTTTTATTATATACTGGTACCTCTTTTTTTGAAGGGGAAACAAACTTTATTTTTTCTCATCATTGCTCTATAATCAACCTTTCAGACTTGGAGAATATTATACCTCAAGTCCAAACTTTACCAAGTGACTAGTATGGAATAGTGCAATATTATAATATAACTAGTCTACAACTTATTCTCACTCTCGGGAGAGGCTCTCTGTGTTTAAATTAACATGATCACTAACGTATATAAAGCTTTGTAGAAAAACAATGAACCCTAAAACAGATTACGATGTCAAAGTGGCTCTGTGGAATCCAAATGTCAGACAAAAGCAGATTTTAAAGAAGATTAGACAAGTACGAGACTGTTCTGTTCCCTTCTTATTTCTCTGCCGCAAATTAGGGAAGCAAACTTTCATAGGAAGTTCTTTAGTCTAATCCCATCTTGGTTTCCATGATGGGTTTTGAGGTTGTAGATACTTGTGTTCATTCTTTACCAACACTAGAATCAGTTCTTTACAAAACAGTCAACCTTGAGTATTCGTCTTGGAGGCCTCCAGCTTTGTGCAGAACTTGCTGCTTTCTCCTCTTGACCTCCCTCACAATCCAGATACCCCTGCCAGCTTGCCCTCCTGAGCTTTCTTCTCTCCCTCT